TGCTAATATACATAGACATACTGCACATAAACTGTAATACGTACATGTGCACGCATTGTGATATACAGACATGTGTAAACAGTACACATACTGTAATACATACATAATACACACTGTAATATATGTACACACACATGCACACATTAATGCACAGACATACGCATGTACACACACTGTAATACATGCACATATGCACACATACACATATATACATACACACGTATTCCCTAGGGAATATACCTGTATATGTGTGTATGCTTGTATACACACACACACACACACACACACACACACACACCTATGTGTAGGTATGTGTGTGTATATATATATGTATATACAAGCATACACACATGTATGCTTGTATATATACATATAGACATGCATTACAGTCTATATGTGTACATATGGGTGTGTCCATAGTAGGGTTGAAATGTAGCTGTGCTGGTCCAGGGAATATGCAAGAAGCAAGGGGGTGGTGGTGGAGGGAGTGGGTGGGAGGTTGGTAGTATCTTTTCTTAGACCAACAGAATGAGACATGTTATACAAATTTGGGGGGGCAAAAAATGCCTTAAGTTAAGAAAAGAAAAAAACACAAACCTTTGACATTGCATTGGGATGCCTGGCTCCCTTACAGCTAACTGAAGCCTCCAGCTTTATAACAGGCTAAGATGCAAAGCACAAGAAGAGCATAAACAACTGGCATTCTCATCCTGCCAAAGCAAAAGTTTGAGAAGATGCAGTCCTTGCATGAGACCCTGGGTTTCACTGTTCCTGATCAGAGAACCTTGAGCGATAACTTATACAGATTTACTAGCACATCCTGACCTCCAAGGATGTATGTTTTAAAAGGGATTGTGTTTTAAAAGGACTGTTTAAAATATCCCAGCAAAACTAAACAAATTGGAATTGGCTTCATTTTTAATACAAATATACACTAAGTTCATTTCCAGTGCTCATGTCAGCTGTCTCCAAGTTAAAACTAGTCAATTCAGGCTTCAGTGTTGTGTGCAGTGAGTTAGCAGAGCTCCTAAGTTTTTTCCCCAGCTATTTTATGGACTACCAGCATGCTTCATGCCAGGAACTAGAATGTTTTCAGTTTTGCTCCATTAACATTGTGGTCAAATATTGATTTGAGGAAGAAAGGTTTAGAAACTAAAAAACATATGTAAAGAAAAATCCCTTCCATAGTAAATCACTTCCTATAAACTCAGGAGGGAAAATACTGTGCATGCCATGCTATCTGCTCATATATAGCTTATAAATCCTGTTGAAGAAATGTTTACCAACTAATTCACAACTGTAAAAGTGCAAGAGCAGATATTCAGTCCTACCCTGGCTAAAGCACAATATAAAAGTAACTAGGTCAACTTTCAGCGGTGGTAGCCCAACTATGGGTCATAGAAAGAAGTCAGGAGAGAACAGAGGTATTGTGCACAATGTATGTTATAAGCAAGAACTATTATTTACTGATAGTATCTGCATTGCATCAGTTTACTCTACTCCATGTATGCACTGGCCCTAGGCCAGGACTCACTCAGGCGGGCACTATAGAGAGCCAGAATAGAGAACAGGTAGATACAGAGAGACGGTGCAATTGATGGATCAAAGGCAGGGACAGGTAAAACACAACCCACAAGCCAGATCTGGCCCGTCAGGCAATTCCACCCAACCCACAGGTGCCCATCAATTGTACCCTGCACAGCCCCTGTGCCCCGCTCCCACACTGGTGCATGGAAGGGCATGGCCCAGCCAGCATGTACCTGATAGGCACGGCTGCTGCTGCCACTGCTGTAGCCACTGGGGGCACCTGCTTGGCTTCCCCGCCCTCCAGCAGCTCCTCCTGTCCCTGCTGCAGAGTTCACTCTGGGCAGCAGGTAGGGAAACAGCAGGGGGAGGGGAGTTGCAGTGGGAGTGGGGGAGCTGCAGCTGGGTGAGGGCAGGGAGCATGGAGCCCGCACCCAGGGGGGTGGCAGGAGCGTGGAGCTCAGGTGAGCAGGGCATAAGCGTGAGGAAGGATGGGGTGTGGGGACCCTCCATACACTCCCCCCCATGACACAAAGCCCCCGCTGCCAGTGGCAGCAGCAGGCAGGGTGCACTCAGGGCAGTCGTGGCCCGTGCAGGTGCTGCTGCCCGATGGCACACAGCTCCAGCCAGAGCTCCACACGGAGACAAGGAGTGCAGTCAGGCCAGCCCGCCTCTATCGTTCAGGGCTCCCTTTGGCACACGTGCAGCTCCTGGCACTCGCGCACCATGGGAGGGAAGCCCTGCAGTCTGGTGCTGGTTGCCTTCCCTGCTACATGCAGGTGCCGGGACTCCTCCAGAAGCGGCAGGGGGCCCTGTACAGCTTCACCCAGTGGTGCGCAAGTGCCAGGAGCTGCATGTGCGCCATGAGGAGCCCCGTGTGAAAGAGGCAGATCAGCTTGGCTGCGCTCCTTGTCACCGTGTACAGCGTTGGCTGGAGCTGCACACCACTGGGCAGCAGCATCTTTGCAGGCCACGAGGGCCCTGATCCGCTTACAAACCCCCACACACCCCACCACAACCCCCCCACACAAAATACAAGAGTAAGACTTTATTTTTGATCTATTATACAGTCACCTCTATATACGCTACAGACACAAATCATGACAAAATATTTTCTGTAGTTAAATTAAAATATGTGATAGTAGATGTTTGACTTTTAGTATATGATTTGGTGTTTTTCTGGTTCAGATGGCAACCCTCCCCTCCCAAAACGAATACTTCCGAGGCAAGGGGAAGGACTTCCAGTAGCCAAGGTCAGGGTGGGGCTTCAGGTCTAAAGATGGCTGCCAAGGGGCGGGGCACCTGCCAAGGGGTGGAGCTACCCTTGCAGCCCTTGACAGCTCACCAAAACTCAATAGGCAGCTCTCCAGCCAAAATAATTGCCTGTCTCAATCTAAGGCAATATTGGTCCCAATGATGAGAAATAGTCTCAGCGGTTTCTTAAAGCATTTTAGTAGGCATTACACACAATTCACAATTCAATTAGGCGAGACAGGATCATTTCCACTTTTACTAAAAAAGTCACACCTAAACGTGACCTGCCCTAAACTCACTTTTTCAGGTCTAAGAATGGAAAACAGATGAAAGAGAGGTTCTCTTCTTTTTTCCAAGGAAAAATTTTAAACAAAAAAGCACTAGTTTGATGTCTGAGTTGGACTATACACAGCACATTAGGGGCAGCTCTTGAGGAAACAGAAACGTAAAATTTTACCAGAGCCCAAACTTGTGTATATTTAATGCTACCTCTTACACTTGTAACAATGGACTACTATGAAAGTGAGAGGTTGAAAGGATTTTTGAAGATATTTGCTTTAAGTAGAAATAAAACTCCTTCTCCCTACAATAAATTAAGTTAAAAATATGCAGCTTCTCTTATATAAGGGGTGGGCAATTATTTTGGCTGGAGGACTGCTTAATGATTTATAGTAAGCTGTCAAGGGCTGCAAGGGTAGCCCTGCCCCTTGACAGGTGCCCTACCCTTCGGTTGCCATCTAGGGACTGGAAGTCCCATCTCTAACCCCTGACCTTTGCCACCAGAAATCCCTCTCCTGGACCCCAGAAGTAGTCTTTTGAGAAGGGGAGCTTGCCACCTTGGAACTGGAAAAAAATAAAGCATACACTGAAAATCAAACACCTACTACAGTTTAATTTTATTTAAAAAATATTTTTGTCCTGATTTACATGCATTTGCATAGTATATATAGATTGCAAAATAGCTCAAAATAAAGTCTTACTCTTGCACATTGTGTGGAGGGTGTGATGGGGAAGTGTGTGTGTGTGTGTAGTGGGGTATGAACGTGGGACCCCTTCCCCACATGCCCCCATGGCACACAGCTTGTCACTGGCAGCAGGTCCTTGGGGTGCTCATGGCAGACGGTGCTCCCCACCAGCGCACAGCTCTGGTTGATTCCTGGGAGCTGCACTTAGCAGCATGGAGCTGGCCTGGCCCGGCCTGGCCTAATGGCACATGGCTCCTGGTTGGAGTGCCAGAAGCCCCATGTGGCAGCACAGAACCAGCCTGGCCTGATGGGGTGCGACTCCCTGCTGCAGTGTCAGGAGCTCCATGTGGGGATCCTGGCTGGAATACTGGGAGCCCCACGGCAGCGGAGACACAGAGCTGATGGCACACTCAACCTGATGGCACATGGCTCCCCACAGCTCCTGACCAGAGTCCTGAAAGCCGCATGTGGTGGCACAGAGCGGGGCAGTTGTCCACGGCTTCCCCCCTATTTCCTCAATGGGAAAACCTGGGGCCCTTCTTAAGTTGCACTCTTGCACAGAGGAAGGGCTGGGGAAGAGCCATGGAGTTGCCAGGCAGAAGCTTCCCGTCTCCAGTGTCCCCTACCCTGGGCCCGAGGCAGGGAAGGCTAGGCTGAGGTGGGGCCAGGTTGCTTAGCAAGCAAAGCAAAGCTTGAGCTGCTGCTGCTGCAGCCATGCCTCCTACAACCAGTGCCTCTGAAAGCCCATACCTCTCACCGGCTTTTAGAGGGGCAGACGCACGCCCGTAATCAGTCTTTTGGAAGAGGCCCCATGGGCCAGATAGAATTGGCCTGGTGGGCCAAATCAAGCCATCTTATATGATGCCTTTTCTGTTTCAGTTACAAAACTGTAACAAATTAATCTTGCAGATTAAGTAACAAAACAAACATACCCCAAAACGATCCAGTTCAGACCAAAATGATTGTTTTTCTATTATGTTAACTGCTATAAGTAGCTACAGCTGCGAGTGGTGGAAACTGGATCATATATATATATATATATATATATAAAGGAAAAAAGGACTAGAGGAGTGAGTGGATTACGCTTTGTTCATCTTTTTACCAGGTGGAGGCGAAATCATGTGGAAGAACAGAGGTTAAAAAGGTGGTAGATGGGGTAGCTGGAAACAGCACGTAGAGTGAACAACACATCTAGCCTCTCCTAATGAGAGTAACAGGAGTATTCTGGCCCGCTGTTTAAAATGGCAGATAGACTGCTTTCTTAAGATTTAATTTATTGATGTTTGCATAGTTTAAGAAAATATGCTCAAGATGATTTCAGAAGCCATATTAAATTACAGGAAGACTCAATGAGTCTTGATACATTATTACATGTCAAGCAGTACAATATTTGGAAGCCGTGTCCAGAGCAGACAGTTCAAGTGAACAGACAACTATTTTTGAAATGTTAAGTTGTTAAGCTCTGGTAAATCTACCACAATTAGAGTTCATATATTTGCCAGTTTCTGAACAGAGTGCAGTACTTCATGTTTCTGTTCCTATCCATTTGCTTTTACACTCATATCATCTTGGCTGACAGTTCTAAGTTACTGCAACTTCCAAAATTATTTTTGGAAGCATTTTATGGGGACAAAAACATAAATTATGGAAAGAAAATGATTTCTCATCTCCCTTCTCACAGACATTCACAAATTAAAAAGGAATCAATTCTAAGAAGTTTCCCTGTAGCATCCACACTGTACAAGCCTTCTCAGAACAGGAGTTTATCCTGGCCTTCCCATGTGCACATAATAAACCTGGTACTATTTCCAATTAGGGACTGTATAACAAGCAAGAGAAACTCCACCATCCCCACAAAAAAAAAAACAAACAAACAAACGACACATCGCACACACACTTCATACTATATGTGAAAGATGCCAGAATAACTGCCAATTGCAATGATATGCAAAACTACGATGTGATCTCTTCGAAAAAAAACCCTACAGAACTCAATTTAGAGAATTTAACAAGCCAGCAAAAATGTCAGTATTTCCCCCCCACCTGAACAAAAACTTTAACAGCTTGCATTTATTATAGTCATGGCTACTTTCTTGGTAAATCCAGCACATGGTGTCTAAACTAACAGGAACAGACTCCTCCTCTGCCATCCGTCTGCATATTTGATGATCTATTTATGCACCTTCTCAAAGTACTCTTTAGAAGCTTCTGGAGTTGGCTTTATCTGTAAATAAACATATTACAAGTTGAAATAACTTGGGTGTACAGGAAGAGACAAAAAGAAATAGAAGCGCAAAACTTAAAACCCTATTTAACAATTCAGATTTAAACAAACTATTAATTCTGTATGTCCACTTACTGGCATACACTCTCACGAATGTTTATCTTAGAAATATTTTAGAAGTGAAGAACTGAAAACAATTCATGTTGCTTTGACTTGGGCTCTGCACAATACAGAGACAAATTTAAATTACATATAGTTTGGGAAGCTAGGGAAGATTAAGTGTTCATATGGGCAGGAGGAGAGAAGGGGTGGGGCACCCTGCATCCTCAATAGAGTATGTGTGAACACTTAGTCCTGAGCATAAACATCAAGTTGTTCCAAGTAATCCCATTAATTCCCATGATCAAAGCCATTTCAGAGCTTTAAGTGAACACGTGCTCAGCCTTGCAGGTTTTCCGTGCAAAGGTGCCATGACTGGGCCCATATTTTAAATAATACATACCGTGGGGGATTCTGGAGTCCAGTTTGCTGGACAAACCTCTCCATGAGTTTCTACATACTGGAATGCCTTCACCAAGCGAAGGGTCTCCTCCACACTGCGGCCAACCGGGAGATCATTGACACTCAGATGCTTAATGATTCCATTAGGATCGATGATGAAGAGACCTCTGCAAAACAAGTAGTTTGAGCTTTTAGAAAATGAACTCCTTACCATGTTTTTGTGCATGTCAAATTCTGTATGTTGCAGATGCAGTCATTCTAAAAAATAGGTCCTACTGGAGCATATGGAGCAATGATATGCAACATTTATACAATTGTGAATGTGGCCTTATGGTTACTTCCTTTTACACAAAGGGTGAGACTTCAAGTCTCTGATCAGAGCGGGAATGAACAAAATCCAGCCTGTGGCCAGATCTGGCCCACCAAATGCTGTTATCCAGCACACAGTTGCTTCCCTGAAGGAGAATTGTATCTGGACTGTTGCTGCCCTGGCTTTTGGTGCCTGTTGCCCATTTCCCTTCTTCATGCCAGCCAGCTGCAGTAGCAGTAGCCACTCCCCTCCCTGGCCTGGCCCAGCCTGCCCTGCCCTGCCCTGCCCTACTCCCCCCACCCACTGTATAGTCCAAGGCAGGGGGTGCCGAGCTCCTGGCCAGGTTTCTGCCCGTGAGGCTGTCTCCACATCAGCCGCAGGGTTGGAGCCTTCACAGACCAGACAGCCTGCCCCAACAAGTCAAAGCTCAAGTGAGGTTCCCCCCATTGGTGGGGAGGGGGTGTAGGAGAAAGGGGGCCAGGATCAGTAGATTTTCCGGGCTCTGCCAGATCGGGGCTTGGTAGGGGTGCAGGCACTGCTAATGAGGTGCCATGCTGGGTTCCCATGCACTGCTTTGGGCTGCACCAAGCGAGTGTAGCTGGAGTGGCTAGCACAGCTGCTGTCCAACCCTGGCACAGTTCCTACCCAACCCCGAGTCCCTGGCACATGGCTGGATCATGCAGGAGCCAAGCCAGCTGCACCTATGTGGCTCAAAATGGCCCACAGGAACACAGTGTAGCACTAGCTTGGCCTGGCCACATACCAGGGACTCGGGGTAGTGGTGCAGGGAGAAGGGGAGAACACAGTGCAGCACCAGCCCAGCTGGACTCTCATAATCCATGGCTCCCTTCCCCCTTCTTCCTGCATCCCTGTCCGGAGTCCCCAGCACATTGCCAGGCTGTGCTGGTGCCACACTGTGTTCCCACAAGCTGCCTTAAGCACCTCATGGCTCCTGCCTGACCAGGCCACGTGCTTGGGACAGGGGAGGGGGTACAGGGAGAAGGGAGCCAAGAGCTGCAGGTTATCTAGGTATGGCCAAGTCGGTGCCAAACTGCCTTTCCCCTTCTCCCTGAACCTCCTCCACCACCCTAAGTCCCCAGCCAGGTCATAAAGGAGCCGTTCCAGCTGTGCCCATGTGTCCCAAGGCAGTGCAAAGGAACACAGTGTGGCACTGGCCTGGCCACATGCTGGGGACTCAGGGAAAGGGGTGGCAGGGTGCAGGGAAAAGTGGGGAACAGAAGTTAAGTTCTCCTAACCTTTGTCCACCCACCTCCTTGTCCTTTAGCCAGGGGTGGGGAATTATTTGGGCTGAAGAGCCACTTAAGCAGATCTGGTGAGCTATTGCAGGGGGAGGGGAGGGGAGAGGGGATATACTCACCCCAAAACACTCACCAAAACTCCTTAAGTGGTCCCTCCAGCCCACCCCTGGTTTAGAGAAATAAAACGAAATTAAGAAAGTATAACCTCCATCAATACCTTCTAGCTAGGGGAGGAATTCTTCCTGTTTTGGAGCTGGTGGGAGGAGGAGTAAACATAAGGGCATGTCAGCATGGCAAAATGCAGAGCATGTAGAGATACCCAAGCTAGCTCTGAATGAGGTAGCTCAAGTACCAGAAGTAGTAGCCACATTAGTACAGCAGAACTACTTTTCCTGGTTGGAAAAAAAAACACCACGCAAATACGGATACAATGCTCTGAATTCCAGGAACAGGGAATTATTGAATTGAGAGCTATGCCTAATTCCAAGGATGCTTTGACTAGACATTTAAAAGAACTTCTCAGGATCAGTTGTAATATACTAAAATTGGTTGAGTTTAACTAGAATTGGCAACAATTATCATTAGAAGCTCCATCCTAAAAAAGTAAAGCAACTTAATTTAATTTGAAAGGTTCTCTCTCTCTCCTCGGTAAGAGAAAAAAAAACCCCAACAAAACCCCCACAATACACACACACAATGGGGTCGAAGTTAATGAATTATATGGAATAAATAGTTTTCCTTTTAAAACATCAAAAAAAAGGAACTCTGGACTTGAGTACAGGGTGCAAAAGAGATTTTCAGTCCATGGAGTCCATATAAAAGCTACAAGGAGACAAATGGCAGGCTCCTTTCCTTCTCAGCATGTAGGCAGTTCTGCTGTATCAAACATGTATAGCTAGAATTTCATGGGCATTTCCAAGTTAGAGACTGGATTCTCTTTAGACTTCTTCATAGTCATTATTACTGATCTAACTTATTCACCTCTCACTCAGATAAGAAACAAGGGCTGGACCTAACTCATTTTGCCTGTACCTGAGCTGAAAACAAAACAAAGCATCCTCTTTCCCCTAAGGATTCCTCAGGAGACTGATTCAGGGCTTCATTCACTGACCTCTGCAAGAACACAACCCCCTTCCCACCCTCTAGAAGAGCATTCAACAAACTAAAAAGTGAGCCAAGTAGTCTTACATGTTCCCTTTTTTACCCCTAAACTCGTTTTGAGAGAAACAGGGTGCACAATGTTCTTAGAGCCAGTGACCAACAAGAGGTTACCAGCAAACAGGCTCTTACCTTAGCGCTAGACCGGGTCCTTCTAACAGCACGCCGTAATCTCGGGAGATTTGTTTTGTTAGATCTGACAAGAGGGGGATGTTCATGTGGCCCAGACCACCACTCTAATGGAGAGAAATTGAAGATCTTTCATTAAGCTCCTGCTTAGCATCTTATTTCCATTTCATCACCAAACACCTATCAGAATCATTCATTAACCTACGCTAAACATGGTACAGTTAGTTCAATACTCTAAACAAACCTAATTTCCAGTGTTTAAACGGAAGCAACCGCACACAACTATTCAACAAAACCCCTGTTAAAACCATTCACACTAACAGTATGAGACCATGGACAGCAGCAATGGTCACTTTGGATAGGTCACAACACTGCTATTCAGAGAGAGGACCAAGTCTTCCTCAACTAGGCCAACACTCATCATTTTTCCTTCCCCATCTACATTACCTAGCAGTGGCTGCATGAAAAGCACAGGAGGAGACACAAGTATCAGGTAAACTGGATTTCTAGAAGGGGTCTCTTAGGCATTAATCTGTCCACTTCTTTTCTCTCCTGTCTCTCTCTTTTCTCTCTCTTTCAGGCTCTAATTACAAGCAGTGGAGAGAAGTGGAATACAAAAGGCCTGGAAAGGCAAGGCCAGGAAGTTGTGGGATTGCAGCTGGAAGACTCCTTATGCTTGAAGCACCTAAATGAGTTTTGAATACATTACAAGAGATGGGTCAGGAAGGAAGCACACTTTCAGGTCCCGAAGTTCAGAAGAACTTCCAGGGGCACAATGGATTGTAACCAATGGGCAAGCTAAGGGTTTTTTAAAATGTGAATGGTTGGCAGCCTTAAATAGCAGCACAGCCATAACCAACAGAAGCACTGGCTTTTCACCTGTTAACACATACTTAGTATGTATGTGTAGACCATATATTCACAGTACAGATGTTCACATTTGTCCATGATCACAGCATTTTGAACATTTAAATGATTGCTGCATTTAAAAAGAGAGTTGATATTTAATAAAGCTACTTTCCCCCCAAGTAGACACAATCAAGGGAGTCTATTTAAAGTGTCTGCTGATTTTTGCAACACTGAGTGCTAGAGATAAACTACCTATCCTTGAAACAGGACTGATGATTTGTTTGTTTTTCTATTCCTGGCACAGACAGTTAATCATTGTGTAATCTCGGGCACTCAAACAGACCCTGATTTTGAAATGGCTTAGCCACAATAGCCTTACTCATGTGAGTAGCTAGCTCTATGTTAGAGAAATCAATGTTCATTTTCCCCCTCAAATGAAGAATGCTTGCTCAGTTTTGGAGAGTGCTGGGAGATCAATGGATCAAATAGGGCTCTGCAAGTGCCAAATATTATTGCTTCTATGCAGGGCCTTACATTGAAACAGATTCACATTTTGGAGTCTTGATCCAAGTTTTTATGATATGAAGAGACCAAAGCCAAATATTTAGTCAAGTACATCAGGCCTAGAAAAGCCTAAAATATAACTTGCCTTAGAACTTATGTAAGTGAAGTAGTATCTTCATGTTTTAAAACAGAAATGTTAACAAACTTCCTACTCTCTCAGCATGCTACAAAAATAAGCTGCACACAAAAAGGCAAAGTGAACTTGCCTGACTTTACTTATTCCAGTAAGTTGAATGCACTTACAGCTTTCACATGACCATATCAGCAATATGCAATCACGTCGGACATGGGGGTTTTTGGTACCGCCCCTCTTCTCCCTCCCCTCCGCATTAGGCTTTCTAGTTTGGGTCTTGTTGAGAAAGAAAGACTACTGTATTTTGGCATTACTAAGCATAAGTGAGACCCTACATAAACAGCCATTTTCTCTTCTGCCATTTCTCTACTGAGGGTGTAAGATGACCTGCCTTAGAATGTGTGTAAATGAAGTTGTATCTTTATGCTTTAAAACAGGAATGTTAGTAAATATTTCAGTAGACTGCAGCTGTTGACATAAACCCTCTAATGAACCATTTTTTCTTTTTTGATAACTTCATTGACTTAATGGAGACAAAAATCAGCTACTGTTAAGATCTAGGTAGGTACACATAGCTAATGGAGATTGAGGTAACTACTAAACTATGTGTAATCCTGAATGGACTGTTTAAGTGCATTTAGCTGCTTAAACTTGTAGTCCAGTATAAGATAAGTTACAATATTTATCACAGTGTGCAAAATGCAACAGTCCCAAGAAACATACCAGACAGAAAAACCCAGACTCCAAATCAGGACATCCGATTCAAGTATTCCTGCCCTCAAACTGCAGAAGTCAGCTATTACTACAAATGAGGAAAGCTTAAACCTGATACTTTTGAATGATTATCCATGTCCGCAGGGCTTTGTGTTTATTTTACAGTTACTAAAAAACAAAGAGTTAGAGGAAAATCATAATTACAGATCCTCCAAAGGTATTTAACCACTTACCTCCAATTTAACTTAATGGAAAATAAACACTTAAATACTTTTAAGAATGTGGGCCATGATGTTTCAAAAATCAGTTCTTAAAATTGGATTACTAAAATCCCTAGTGTGAAGTAAACTCTTATAGAAGGACTGCCAAGGCAAGTGCTACATATTAAACTAATCTGTTTTAGATGTGGTAAATCTATAGCAGTATAAGCCTGTATAAAGTAAAAAAAAAACAACCCACAGCCAAAGAATTCAAGGACACTTGGAACTACTTCTGTAGCATCACACAGGTGCAAGGAAATACACAGACCTGAGATGACAAAGGCCCTTCTTAACAGATACCAGGGAAATGAATGAGTCTACTCTTAAAAGGTATTCAGGAGTCCTGAACATCTTCCACTCTCATTGGAGCCAACAGCAATTAGTCATAGACAGCTTAAAGTGAAAATTTAAGGATAAAAAATTGCTGGCTAAATACCATGGAACTGAGCAGGGTCATCTGTATTTCTGGAGATATATTATCAAAGCACCTGAATAATGTTTGCGACTGTACTGTGGATTATCACATTCATCCAGTAGTTCTCAACCAGAGTGCTGTGGCACCATGAAGTGCTTTGAGATCATTTCAGGGGTGTTACAGGGTGCCTGCCACACGTTAGCACTGTTAAAAGTGCGCACATGATAAAAGCAGAGACTTCACGTAGAAATCCAAAGCATTAGAAACAGTCTGACGTGTTATCCTCACATGAGTGGGAAGTATGAGCTGGCATTTTTTAAGGGGTGCCTCGAGTACAACATGGGGTGCTTTTCATGAGGTTGAGAATCACTCCATTAAGCAAGTCCTTTTTCTCGAAGTACTTCCTTGGAGATAAGTCTACTCCCTGCCCCACCTTTATTTCCTGAATGCTCCAAATTTAAGTGTACAAACTCCTCTGTATGTACTTTTATTCAGTCAATGAAAAAAGTAATTAAAAAATGGAGAGCAGAAACTTATGCTTGAGAGCACGCAACTCTGCAGACACTCGGGGCATTTTTACACGTACTTTGGGATGCAGTGCCAGGTTCTTTAATTAGCGAGCCACATTAACTAACAGCACCTATGCGTCATGTGCATCAGCATCCCCACATCCCCATGCTGAAAAAACAGCAGCAGGGCACTTTGAACTAAAGCTCATCAAATGTGTTATTTCAAAGCGACCCGTCACCATTTTTTCAGCACAGGGACGTTGATACACATGATGAAAAAGGCTGCTGGAGCACAACAATTTTTATGCTCCAGCCTGGATTTCCCACGTGTCAGAGCAAGCTCCACACATGTCTATAGGAGCCCTTGGTGATGTTGAAGACAGTCTACTTGACTAACTGTAAAATTCTGCAAGCTTCACTTCAGATAAAGTGAGCTGTTGCTTGCTTATCAATCTCTGAATTAGTCCAAACAGTGCAACTCTGCCCTGCCTTCTGCCCAACTTCAGGTTAACCCGTTAACCCGGCTGACTGCCTCTCTGCTCTTTAAAAGTGCTGTTGCTGAGAAAAGAGTCACCCAATTCATACCTTCCTTGGGGTATTTATCCATGCCAGATGACAGAAGTGAGAATCCACAGACACAGCAACCACTTCACAGTTCACATCACGAAATTCATTGGCTTTGTCACTAAAAGCCACAATTTCTGTTGGACACACAAAAGTGCTGGACAGCAAAAGAAAGTAAGTTGAAAGGTCAGTACAGAGAACTTTGAACAGAATCAAATACATTTGTCTCTAGGCACAAAACATGCTGCTGAATTGCAGATTTTACAGTTTTGACAGCTTTACAAGTTCTTGAATCACTCATTTGATTTCTAAGATACTACCTGAGTGCCAACAGGTCTTGAAGCTACAACACAGTTAGACAGCACACCAAGATTGAATGCATTTTTAATTTCAAATCTGCAAGATGTTTACACATGTCAATTCTTGGGTGTTACACTAGGGAAGCTGGGACCAACCTATTTGGCAGACCACAAATTAGCCCTGCACTTTCCCAGAGTGCTGCTTTGATCCCCTTCCCCTGGCTCACCTGCCGCTCTGCTTTCTCCTCCCTGCCCAACCTGCCTGTCACCTTCCCAGTCTGCCGTGTGCCACACAGAGGCTGCTGGTGCCACTTGCGGCCTACCCTCCATTAGAGAACCATGGAGAAAAGAGGCTAAAAGAGAAAAAACACCTTGCCCATCAAGATGCTGGGAAAGACTCCCAAGTTTTTACAGAATGCATACCCAACACTCCCTTTCTGGCTATCTTTGGCTTAAATGAACAGCTTAGTTGGAGATCCACTGGCCGTGGCAGAGCCCTCCCCAACACTGAACCCTTCACCTCTTGGAGCTGATACAAGGTGCTGCCCAGCACACCCTCCCTGCACCCAGCACTCCCCTATGTAGGGACACTGTGTGAAAAGCCACTGCTGCACTTTGGCAACAGGATTTATCCCCAACGGCACACTGGAGTCATTGACGGTACCGTTGCAGTATCAAACAGCCGCCTCCCTAGAGCTCTTATCACTCTCACTCCAGAACAAGACCCACAGGATAAGAGGACGCAAGCCATCGTATAAGTCATCGGCAGTAGTTTCATAGCTGTTAATCTATGGGCCCCATGCCTAAGCAGGCATCTCAATGAAACCAGGGAAATAAAAGCCATCGAAACTCACGGTAGAGGTGATCTCTTTTATTAGATCAACTAGATTTTTGCACCAAAACCCCCGCAACTGCCTTTAATTGCAATTAAAGAGTATTAGACTAATTAGATTTTTGCAAAAAACCCCAACTATCTTCAACTGCAATTAAAAAGACAATTTTTTTTGGCAAAAATCTAGTTGGTCTAATAAACGCACCCCCTCTACCGCGAGCTCGGATGCCTTTTGCCTCTGGACCGATTCAGCTACAACCCAGATCCCCAACACGTGGGACGTAAAAGCTTGCACTCACAAATCCAGCGGGTAGAAGAAGAGCACCAGATACTTCCCCTTGAAGTCATCCAGGCTCATTTCCTTGAACTCTCCGTTGAAAACCGCCGTCCCTTTGAAGTAGGGGGCGTGCTGCGTGACAGCAGGAACGAACTTGGGACAACCTGGAGGGAGAGAGTCACCTTATCCTGAGACGCCGGAGCAGGCGGCACGCCGGGAAGGCCTGGGGGCAGGATCCCAACCCGCTGCAGCACCTTGGCTTGGGGGGGACGCAGCAGCACCCAAGGGCAACCCCAGCCCAAATCAACCCAGGCCAGGGGCAGGGACCCGCCTTACTGGTGCTGAAGGGGCGGCGGGGCAGGGGCTGGGGCTCCGCCCCGGGCCCGCGCGTCCTCCCGGCGGCGGCGGCAGCGAGGGGCCGC